TTCGCATACACCGGATCACCCTGGATATCCCACACGCGATACTCTGCACTCACACACACACACACGCTACACACTAACTCTAGCTATGGCGGCTATGGCCGCAACTACTCTATCGCTATGCTACGCTCCTCCTCTCTCGCCCACTTCAGCTCCGGGCTCACTGCAGATCTCCTTGCACAAGTTGCTGTGGCAGCGCTTCCGCATGGCTCACGCAGGAATGAATGAAGGGCTGGGCGCTGCCTCTTGATTTATACTTCTGAAACTCGTTGGTCTGCCCTTTGCCATCGGCCCATGGTGCTCACAGTCCCTCGTGGTACTTGCTGGACCGGACTGGGACCGACCGGACCGTACCGCTGACTGTACGGGGACTCACTGCTATCCTACTGGGGTCGTACTGCAATCGCACTGCGGTTCAGTCCACCACTTGACTCACCACTTGCCCACTTGCCCACTTGCCGACCTTCTAGAAGGCTACAGCTAAGACTTCTAGACTTCACTAAGACTTCTATTCGACAGACCTACAGATCGAACCCCTGCAACCTATGACAGCCTATCAACTGTTACAAGTACACAGGTCATGGGTTCAACTCTACGGGTCGACACAGGTACTGTACACAGGTAAGGTGGGGACTAGGGATCGAGCCCTGGGGTCTGCGTCTGCTACTGCAAAAAGGTGAAAACCGTTTCATTTACCTCTGTAGCAAGCAACATGGAGCACAATAGATCTGTTTCAATCTCTTTCTTAACTGTAGTTACTTTGACTTTCTTTGGGATACCCTATTTCAGTTCATCTTGCAGCTCCCCTTTTACTATGCCTCTCACGTACAAGGCTGTCCACGTTGATTGTGGTTGAGTGCCAGCTGCCCACATTCCCGTGTGCCTTGATGCCACACTTGCATGTTATGAAAGGAGGCAGAGTAAAGGGGGAGGTATACTCCTGTTCATTTTGCTTCAGATCTTCAGCTTATATTTGTCTGTTCTATTAATGATGCTCGTTTGTATGCATTTACCAGTAGCGCATAAGGGAAGGGAGGAAGGAAAGGGGTAGGAGGCAGAGTTCTATAGGTAGTGAGGGGCAGGGGAGGGGGAAAGGGTAGGGGAGGGAGAAAGGGTAGGGGAGGAAGTGGAGTGGCAAGGGACAGAACAGAGATTTGATGAACTTCGCAGGGTTCTAAATAGTCACCACTGGAGCAGACTACTCTAGAATGGCACAAGAGGCCAGTCTGTGTCTGGGTTGCAGAAGATTTTGAGTTGATGAGCAGCCGTTGCCTATGGTAAGTGGCCACTCCTGCAGACCGGACAGGACCGGTTCGGGTGTGGACTGTGGAAGCATCGCATCCATTTTTCACAGTTGCAGTTGCTGCATCGGATGGCACGGCATAGGGAAATGTCACAGGCTAGTGGCTCCTGTATGCTAGGAACACAGAGGGACGCCAACCACAATTGTAGAGGCATTGTTATTCCAGCCGCTGTCTACAAATCGGACATGACATGTCAGGGTGCTGTACATGAGTGCAGTATTGACTGTCATCAGAAGTATGAAAACAAAGACTCGCATGGGCTATCCCTTCATAATCCTCACAGCACAAAGCATGTGCATCGCATGCTAGGCAAATCTCAGGTGGGTTATCTTAGAGCGGCATTGAGCAGATTTTTTGGGTTTGGATAGACGACGGCGGGAATTGATCCAAAGCAAAGATGTTTACCTGCTGTAGGATTTGGTCTGCAGCAGCTTGCCTTGGTGGCGATAACTTTTCAGTACATCGCTCTGTATGTGGTTCATATGGTAGTGTATTTTCCTCCTCAGGCTGCTACGTTTGTCGTTCTTCTGGCAAGGATGAAGTAAACCTGACTGCGATTGCAGCAGGTGTATGCCCAACTATGCATGTAGGACATGCTAGGAGAGGATGTGGCAGATGATGGCATCGGGGATAGTTCACAGGAAAGAAGTCTGATGTTCGCAGCCATTTAGGCAAGGCATGTGAAGGCCATGATGGCATGCTGGGCGAGTAATTAGGGGGTGGGAGGAATGAGTACAAGACAAAGGGTCGCACTTTTCACGGTAGAGGCTGGCAGTGACCATCCCTTTATAAGTTTATAGTGTTCGGAGCAGAGACTATGTCGTGTGCATGCTAACCAAACTGTAGCTGTGTGACGACAGAATGGATGGCATAGCCACCATCCTCTGGAGAGGCCCCTCCAACGTCTGTGGTAGGATCCGCCCGATCTACGCAGGGAGGGGACACTGCCGGGCCATGCACAAGGGAATGAGCGTTTTCAGCCGGATTGCTCCCTGGGGGCTGTAGAGCTTGCGGGTGCACAACAACACGCGGTTCCTGTTTGACGAGTCAGATCCGGGGATGCTCTACCACTTGGTGATTGAAAGAGGTAATATTTACCACCGTGTGCACTCTAGCGCCATTGTCCCATAGGGTCCATGGATTATCTGCAAAGGTAACGACTCTGAAATGAACTGGATGATGTAGGGTGTACGCACCAACATTCGAATCCATGCCTGGGATGTGATTCTGTGGAGCAGGCTGGAGCTGTCGTCGTCTACCCTTAAATGCCATAAACAGGACTTCTATCTTCACGCCAGGTGCAGTACTGTCGTCCTCTGGGAAGACGGCACGGTGCTCCTCTTCTATCCAGCGGACAATGTCTGCAAAATCAGAAACAGTGTAAGGGTTGCAATTGTAAGCAAGGAGACGTACATTAATGGCATATTCTGCATAGTGGCCTTGCTGTAGCACTATGAGATCATCTGCTTCTGCAGGTTGTGCGGCAGGGGGAGGCTCATTCAATTCTGCAGAGTGCACGGCAGGCGGAGTTTCATTGCGGTTTTGACTGTTCTTGTCAGGTTCCTCTGCCTGTATTAACTCCATTGGCTCTAGCATGCGCTCCGGAGAGAAATCATCTTCCGTTGGGGGCTCCATCAAGTGAGCAGAAGGTGGATCCTTGTCGATTGGGGCGGGGGAGCAAGCGGGGCCATGTGGATGAAAAATGGGTGGGTCAGATGCAGGAAGTGGAAGCTGATCAGCTGCACTTGTGCTCAGAGTGGGTGCTAGTCATGCAAATGCTGCGCAGGTGGCTGCACCTTGTGACTGGTGCACATGCAGGCCTGCAGCACTGAAGAAATCATTGCCACATTGTGGGCACTGGACTCGAGATGAACCATTCTTGGCCAGTGTACATTGAGAGCAGCGATGTCGTTCCGTATGTTTCCCAGCATGGTGTAGGAGCAGATCTCTAACCCCTGCAGGGGGCATGGTGATCATGCTGTTCAAGGACAAACAACGGCGCTGTGTGGGAGGTGGCGGTGGAGACGGGAAACATATCCGCCGAAGAGACATCTGTAACGGTCAATGTGACGATGGACGCCTCCACCGACGGGCCTCTATGATGGCTGATCTGACCATGAATGTGTTGATGTTGATGATGAGGTCGAT